ATAGGCAGGGGTCTGGGCCTCCATGCTTGTTTGTGGCTGGGCCACAGGATCCAACTGTGCCTGGGTCAGGGAGTCCACTTGAGTCTGGACCACAGAATTTGACTGTGGTTGGACTGAAGGATTCACTTGAAGTTGATCCATGGGTTCCAACTGTGACTGGGTTAAAGGGTTCACCTCAGGTTGAACTACAGGATCCAATGGTGGCTGGATTAGGGATTCCACCTCAGGCTGGACCACAGAGTCTGACTGTGGCTGTACTGAGGGGCTCACCTCAGGCTGGACCACAGAGTTTGATTGTGCCTGTACTGAGGGGCTCACTTCAGGCTGGACCACAGAATTGGACCGTGGCTGTACTGAGGGGCTCACCTCAGGCTGGACCACAGAGTTTGACCGTGGCTGTACTGAGGGGCTCACCTCAGGCTGGACCACAGAATTGGACCGTGGCTGTACTGAGGGGCTCACCTCAGGCTGGACCACAGATTCAGACTGTCGCTGAACAGAGGGATTCTCCTGAGGCTGGCCCACAGGATCCAACCGTGGCTGGCCTTCAGCTGTCTGTCCTGGCGGAGTCAGGCTCACAGAGACCACCTGGGTCTGTGGCTCAGTTGGTGTGAAACTGCCAGGCTGTTCCTCACAGGCAGCAGCTGCGAAGGAGGAAAGTACAGCGCGCAGCAGGGCACGGAGGTCAGCACTGGCTGTTAGGCACAGGAAGGGGCTCAGGCAGCTGTTGAGCAGGATCAGGTAGTCGGAATAGACCAGGGCTTCCCAGAGCAGGTATCCAGGGTAGACATCCCATAAGAAAGCCAGATAGAGCAGCTGTGCCAACTGGTAGGGCAGCCTCAGAATCACATAGGCAGACAGAATGGTCTTGGCCACACGGGCAAAGCCACGGCAGACCATAGGCCTAGGCTGGTGCCTACAACAGGTCCTGCAAGCGGTGGCTTGGGTAAGCACGTGGCAGACCAGCAGCAAGAGGAAGGGCAGGAAGCCCCCCAAGATCTCAAGCATCCGCAGAGGCAGCTCCTCGCTGTCCCAGAAGTCCAGGCAGATGACCAAGTCATACCACCAGACAGCAGCCTCAGGGAAGACCAACCAGGGCACACTGAAAAGTGTGGCCAGCACCCAGACCCCAGCGCACACCCAGAGGGGCAGGCGGGCTGGGCGGTGCCCTGGGTACCAGCGTGGGCATAGCGCCAGCAAGCAGCGGTCCAGGCTGAGGGCTGTCAATAGGAAGAGGCCGGAGGAGTAAGATACACCCCATAGGAAGTAGTAGAGACGGCAGGCGGCAGTGCCCAGTGGCCAGTGCCCTCCGTGCTGGATCTCCAGGATTTGGAAAGTCGCTGCTGCCAGGAATAAGAAGTCAGAGAGGGCCAGGCTGAGCAGGAGCAGGGCTAGTCTCGTGCCAGCCCCGTGTCGGGCCTGCGAGCCAGCCAGCCATGCCATCAGCCCATTGGCTGGTAGTCCCAGGAGCAGTAAAGCTACCAGAAAGACAGTGTCCCAGCTGCCCTGGGGGTAGTAGTCCTCGTCATTGAGCTCTGTGCGGGGACCGTGGCCAGCAGCGCCCAGGTTGGCTTCCATAGCAGTGTCCATTCCGGGTCCTCAGGGTAGCGCTGGACATGGACTGCCAGTCTGCTGAATCAACAAATGTGATGGCTGGGCGTGAGAGAGGTGGTGCTGGCCACCCGACCAGGCACTGCTCCTCTCTGGGCCAGCAGTTAGCCCGTGCCCGGCACTCACATACATAATCTCATGTGGTCCCCCTCTAATCAATGTTACCAGCGAGGAGACGATTGTCCACTAACTCTGTGACTTGGTGAAGGTTCCAGATATGGTCAGCAACTCAGTCTAGACTTAACCATGTTGCCACATAGATTATACATGCCGAAGTGGACTAAACCAGAGGTTTATTGAGGAGGCTGATAAATATTGCCTTGAAATAAGGTCTTGCTGTGGAACCCTGGCTGGCCTGGCACTTTCTGTGTAGATCAGGACTGCCTCAAACTTGAGACCATCCTTGTCTTAGCCTTTTTTTTTTTTTTAAATATTTATTTATTTATTATGTATACAATATTCTGTGTGTATGTCTGAAGGCCAGAAGAGGGCACCGGACCTCATCACAGATGGTTGTGAGCCACCATGTGGTTGCTGGGAATTGAACTCAGGACCTTTGGAAGAGCAGGCAATGCTCTTAACCTCTGAGCCATCTCTCCAGCCCCCTGTCTTAGCCTTTTAAATGCTGGGATTACCAACTACCATGCCAGCTTTGACTTCTTTTTTTAAATTTATTTTTTGGGGCCAGTCATGGTGACAAATACCTTTAATTCTGGCACTTGGGAAGCACAGACATAGGGGACTGAATTCAAGGCTAGCCTGGTCTACATAGCAAGTTTCAGGCCAGCTAGGGGCTACATAGTGAGACTCGGTCTCAAAAAAGAAAAGAATTATTTATTATTTTATGGGTATGAGTGTTTACCTGAATGTATATATATGCACTTTGTGTGTGATGATGCCTGTGGAGCCCAAAAAGGGGCATCGGGTCCCCTAGAACTGGAGTTACATGGCAGTCGGGAGCTATCATGCAAATGCTGGGAACTGAACCTGGTTCCGCTGCAAGGGCAGCAAATGCCTTAACAGCTGAGCCATCTCATCTCTCCAGCCCAGTTTTTCAATTTTTGAGACAAGCCGGGGGACAGTGGCGTGAGACAAGATCCCACGTAGCCCAAACTGGCCTCAGATTCATTACAGAGCTGAGGGTAGCCTTGAACTCCTGGTCCTCCAGTATTCGCTACCTGGCGCTTGGATTACAGCCATGCATCACTGTGTTCACCTTATGCAGGCTTGAAAGGATTAGACCGAAGGCCTTGTGTGTGCCTGGCATGCCTTCTACCAACTGACTCACATCCCCTGACCCTGCCTCTTGTTTCTTTGAGACAAGTTGTCACTATGTAGAGCAGGCTCGTCTCAAAGTTTAAATGATCCTCCTGCCTCTGCTTGTTGAGTGTTGGAATTCTAAGGAGTGCACCATCAGGCCCAGCCTAGCTCTTTTCCTGCAGCTCCAAGTCTTGTTCTAAGGTAAAGCGCTGGAATGGACCATCTCCATGGATGGAGAAGGGGTGCTCCCCTTAAAGGTGCAGGAACAACCCCCTAGTGTGCGTGAAGACAGGGTTTGAAAACCGTTTAAAGGTAGCAATGCTGGTAACCTCAGTACGTGGGAGGCAGAGGCAGGAGAATGCCATGAGTTCAAGGTCAGCCTAGACAACAGGGTTTTAAAACCTCTCAAACAAAAGCAGCAACCGGTGCACACCCAAAGCATTGAAGAGTGGAGCAAGAGGATCAGGAGTTCAAGGTTAGCCTTTGATAGTTGGGGTTTTGAAGGCAGCCTGGGATACATGAGACATCATCTCAAAACAGGAAGAAAGAAAAAGAAAGAAAACTATTGGATTATCCTTTCACATGATCCTGATATGGGGTTTCAAATGCTTAGAATTCCCAGAGAGACAGTGCCGTTAGTGCCCTCCTCAGGACGCCAGGTGAGGTCTGTGCCTCCAGACCCTGGCAGGCTAGCCTGAGTGTCCTGAGAGCAGCTTAGGATTCTTCAGTGTCTGCATTGCCACCCGTGCTGCTCCCGTGTTTGTCCCTGGAGCTACTATGGAGAGGAGGCAGTGGGCTCAGTGGGATGCTGACAATGAAGTGGGGGAGGGGCGCCCAGGCATGAGTCCCCAGTGCCTTCTGCTGTCCTTACTCTACCTCCCCCAGCTGGTGGAGGGAAGAAAGCGTCCCTTTGAGGGTTGAGAGGGACTAGCTACCAGCTACATACCGAACACGCCTGGATCATGCCTGGAACCCACGGTTGCAGTCACTATCCCCACAACTTCCCACCGCCTCTTTCTTGGCAGAGTTTCCTGTATGAGTTCTAGCTCTGATGGCTTCAGAGCCTGGATGCCCCTCCCTCAGGGCCTGTAGCATTTCCTGGCTTACCTGGGAGATGCAGGCCAGGTAGAAGGAGCAGGGTACTGCCTGATTGCCCAAGGTCCGCCACCAACCAGCCCCACGATGGGGCCTGCCGCATGGTGCCCAGTGGAGATATGAAGGCGGACAGGCAGGAAACCCAAGCTGAGGGAGCATCAATCATTCATGGGTCTGCTCTCTGGGAAACCCTAACCGTGGCCCCATAGGGCTAAGTCACCAGCCAGGGCCCCCCATCCCAAGGTAAGGTAACAGAGACCCTTTGCTTGGGACTCCTCTAGCCCAGGGCACACTATGTCAATCCCACCCCTCTGTCAGCATCCAAGGCCTGCTTTCTAAAGTTTCAAATGCCCTCTGCTCCAACTAGGATGTCACTCCATTGCACACCCAAGGTGACAACTCTCAGTCTTTTCCAGTAGTCCTCATCCTGCCTCAAGGGCCTTCACTGGTCTTTGATACACTAAATTTAGCCATGTCACACTCTGGGATGAGTGCTTAACTCTGCAGTAGTGTGCTCCCATTTCATATATGGATAAACTGAGACTTGGAAGGATGAATTGGCTGCTTCTACTACGTAAGAAGTGGTTAGCTGGGCGGTGGTGGCGCACGCCTTTAATCCCAGCACTCGGGAGGCAGAGGCAGGCGGATCTCTGTGAGTTCGAGACCAGCCTGGTCTACAGAGCTGGTTCCAGGACAGGCTCCAAAGCCACAGAGAAACCCTGTCTCGAAAAACCAAAAAAAAAAAAGAAAAAAAAAAAAAGAAGTGGTTGAGTTTAAGTATGAGCCCACTGCAGCTGCTGTGTCCTGGTACCCTCACTCCTAAGAATAGCTTTCAAGACCCATCTGGTACTGCCAGGACACCCTAGGGCAGAGGGCACAGATTAGGCTTGCTGCCTGCTTCGTTTACCCTAATCCCCCTCACTGTGGATCCCAGGTGATCGTCTCAAGCCTGCGGGGCCCCTAAGCAGTTTTCTGGGCCCCGAGAACCAAGGGCACTTCAGGGAGCTGCATCGCTGAGTCTTGTTATCCTATGCATGGCAACAGAGCATGGCTCTCAGAGGGTTCCTGGCCACCAGAAGACCCCTGAAGGAGTTGTATCTCCCGGGAGTGCTGCTGAGGGTCCCACCTTGACCAGAAGAAGGAGCAAGAAGGAGGGGCGACTGCCAGGGTCCCAGAAGGCCAGTTCTGGGAAGCAATCCTCTGGCCAAGGCTCTGAGGCCTCAGGAAGCAGCAGGAATGCCCCAAAGACCAAAGTGGGGCAGGGCGAGCCACTTTCAGCACCGCCCAGGCAAGCCTCTCACCGACAGTCCCACCGACAGTCCCACCGACATCGTTCTGACCCCCAGCAGGATGCTGCCCAAAGGACTTATGGGCCCCTGCTCAACCGCATCTTCGGAAAGGTCAGGGGTAAAGGGTTGAGGAGGGGGTTGAGGCTAACTCTCCTTATCTTTATCCCTTCCTGACTCTACTGTCTGGGCCTCCTGTCCCAGACTGGGAAAGACAGGACAGGGCACAGTTGTGGCTTCTTGTACCCAGATGAGGGGAAGTGAATGCGAGACAAGGTTGGCTTCTGACCAATTGGCATAGGGAGCAGAAGACCTCCTCACACCAGGCATCTTGGAGAATCCATTTGGAGCTCCAAGAGCATGGGAGAATGTAGCTGTCTACTCATGGGGTCTGTAGGATCTCAGCCTTCTTCAGCTGCTTTGGTGGGGCCAGCCCTGCACAGTGCACTTGGGGTGGGAGGTTGGAGGAACTGTGGCAAGTGGGGACATGTTGCCTTATTCCTATACAGGATCGGGAACTGTGTCCTGAGGAGCTGGAGGGTGAGTGTCTCTCACCGTTGCTGGGAGGTGGAAGGTGACCCTGGGTATGACTTCCTGCTCTGACTTCGCTAACCCATACAGAGCTGCAGGCTGCCTTTGAGGAGTTTGACACTGACCAGGATGGCTGCATCGGCTACCGGGAGCTGGGTGACTGCATGCGGACGCTGGGCTACATGCCCACGGAGATGGAGCTCCTGGAAGTGTCACAGCACGTGAAGATGCGCAGTCAGTGGCGGAGCCCTGCTTGGTGACTGGGTTGGGAGCCAGACTGCTTACCTAGAGCAGGGGTGGGCTACATCCATGCTATTGTTAATTTTAGTTATTAGTGTGTGGGGTGTGTGTGTGTGCCATAGTGTGCATCTGGAGGTCAGAATCCCATTGTCAAGATTGAGTTCTTCTATCGTGTGGGTCCCAGGGATCTGCTCAAACTCGGGTCATCCAGTTTGGTGACAGGCATGTTTGTCCATGGAGCCATCTGCTGGTTTGTTTTACAACAATTTCAAGACGAGCATGGGATTTGCCATTGATGCACACATCCTGGCTTGCTTTCTATTGCTGTGATGAATACCATGGCCAAAAGCAACATTGAGAGAAAAGGGGGTTATTACGTATCACAGTTTATAATCTACCATTGAGGGAAGTCAGAGCAGGAACTCAAGTCAGGAACCTGAAGGCAGGAACTGAAACAGAAACTGTGGAGACATTTGCTGCTCTCTGGCTTATCTCCAGGTTCCTGGCCAGCTACCTTCCTTATTTTTTTTTTAAAGATTTATTTATTATGTACACAGTGTTCTGTCTGCACATATGCCTGCAGGCCAGAAGAGGGTGCCAGAACTCATTACAAAAGGCTGTGAGCTAACACGTGGTTGCTGGGAATTGAACTCAGGACCCTTGGAAGAAAAGCCAGTGCTCTCAACCACTGAGCCATCTCTCCAGTCCCTCAGTTACCTTTTTTATACCTCCCAGGACCACCTTTCCAGGAGTCGGCCCTCTCAATGGAATGGACCCTCTCACATCAATCATTATGTCCCACGGACTTGCTTTGCCTATGGGCTACTCTAATGGGGGCATTTCCTCAATTGAAGTTCCCTCTTCCTAAATGACCTTATGTTAAGTTGACACACAAAAAATTAACCAGAGCCAGGCGTGGTGGCACATGCTTATAATCCCAAACTGGGGAGGCAAAGGCAGAGGATCTCCGTGAGTTCAAGGCCAGCCTGGGCTGCAGAGTGAGCTCCAGGTTAACATTAACACAGTCCATGCCTCAAACACAAGCAAGAAGTGCAATGCTCATTCTAGGGCCTTGCGTCTCTTTCCCCCAAAGTTGTTGCTTGATCCTTGGAATCTTAGGGGACTTATGACATCTTAGAACTGAGGGATGACACGGACATGGCTGTGCTTTTTAAAGGTATTTAGTGTAGATGGATTTTTTTTCCCCACTGCCAGCCCCAAATAATGACACAGAGACTTATTATTAATTATGAAAGCTCGGTCTTAGCTTAGGCTTACCACAATAGCTCTTATAACTTAAATTAACTCATCTATTTTAATCTGTGTTCTGCCTCATGGCTCATTACCTCATCTCTCTATACTGCCCATAATGCTTCCTCTGCGTCTGGCTGGTGACTGCACCTTTCTTTTCCCCAGAGTCCTTTCTATCCCTGGAAGTCCCAACTAACCTCTTCTTGCCCGGCTATTGGCCATTCAGCTCTTTATTAAACCAATCACAATGATACATCTTCACACAGTGTACAAATATCCCATAACAATCTGTGCTTCCTGCTCAGCTCCACCCAGCTGAGCCCTGATTTCCAGCAGCTGTAGCACTGCTCCGTGAAGCACCTTCCAGGCCCCTCCCAGAGAGCAAGAGGATTGGTAAACCACCCAAGACCTCATACAGCAGGATTTGAACCTGGGCTGCCTTCTCTTTCTGGCCCACTGGGGCTTCATGGAGAAGAGGAGCATCCCTGACCCCCAGTAGCCAAGAAACCCCTCTTTGAGCGAGGAACTAGATGTGCCTTCTTGGGCTCAGAGCCCTGGAGGGAGGGCAGAAGAACGCAGCATCCTCCCTGAACAGATTCTGACACTCTGCCTGGGTCCACAGTGGGCGGCTTTGTGGATTTTGAAGAGTTTGTGGAGCTGATCAGCCCAAAGCTGAGAGAGGAGACAGCTCACATGTTGGGTGTACGAGAGCTACGCATCGCCTTCCGAGAGGTAAGGGCTACAAGCGGTGGCAAGCATGGACTACATTTACTGGGATCCCTGCCTTCAGGGGGTCCAGAGAGGCAAGACTAGGGTGTAGGGACAGGTAGAGAGGGCGACACTCATTGCCTGTGAGGTTTTCAGTCAGGAAAACTGATCTCTGAGGATGGGGAGGTTTAGATACCTGGCGGGGAGCATCATGGCCTTAGGTCAGGCAGTGGCAAGAGCAGAACCGAGAACAGGATGTAGTTCAGTTGGCATAGTGCATATCCAGTATGCACAAAGTCCTGGGCTCAATCCTTAGCACCAAGCACAGCCAGGGCATGGTGGTGCACACATAATCCAAGGATTTGGGAGATGGCGAAGGCGGGAGGATAAGGAGTTCAAGGCTGTATCCACTACACAGTGAGTTGAGACACTGTCTCAACAATATAAACCGAACAAACCCAAGGAGGTTAAGCATGTTATGTTAGCTCATACTTTTTTTTGGGGGGGGGGGTTCTCGAGACAGGGTTTTTCTGTGTAACAGCCCTGGCTGTTCTGGAACTCACTTTGTAGACCAGGATGGTCTCAAACTCACAGAGATCCGTCTGCCTCTGCCTCCCAAGTACTGGAGTTAAAAGCATGTATCACCACAGCCCGGCCTGGCCCACACTTTTAATTTCAGTACTTGGGAGGCAGAGGCAAGAGAGACTCTGTGAGTTTGAGACCAGCCTGGGCAGGATGTCATAGTGAGACACTATCTCAAATAACAAAAGAAAGAAACCAAACCAGAATGGAGCCACATACAGAGACAACAGGGTAGGAACCATGCTTGGACCCTCTCTTGACAGTTTGACAAGGACAGGGATGGACTGATCACAGTGGCGGAGCTGCGACAGGCAGCGCCAGCTCTGCTGGGGGAACCACTAGAGGGCACTGAGCTGGATGAGATGTTGCGAGACATGGACCTCAATGGGGATGGCACCATAGACTTTGACGGTGAGTCACCCTCACAGACACCCTGCCCATGCCTCCGGCACTTTGGATCTCCTTCAATCCCTGACCTGGGTTGGCCTTTCTCTACCCCTCTCTCCTGCAGAATTTGTAATGATGCTATCTTCTGGCTGAGGCACCTGCAGGGCGACCTACTGCCCCTGAGGCCCACATACCTGCGAGAACCAGACAACCACACCCTTCCCGAGGCTGGGAGCTCCTCCCCAACTGTAGGCTGCGGCTACCCCTGAGTAGGCCTGCCTCCCGTATCTGCAGCGCTGTCTTCTCCTCCCACTCCTAAACTGTGGAGGGAAAAATCCCAGCTGGGTGCAGTTCTCAGCAGAGAACAAGATTTGAAATCTCTCCAGGCCCTGGAGAAGTAGGGAGTTCCCCAGCGTTGGCTGCTTTTGAATAAACCAGGCAGAGTGTATTGTGGGGAATTCTTAGGACCTGGTGGATTGAGAGGGCGGCCAAACCACTTCCCACTACTTGTGTGCAGAAAGTGCTCTTCTGAGAAATGAACTTGGGCCTGGTAAAAATGGCTCAGCAGGTAAAAGCTCTTGTCACCAAGTCTGTATAGGATCCTTGATATTCACATGGTGGGGGCCGGGCAGTGGTGGCACCCTTCTTTAATTCTAGCATTTGGGAGGCAGAGGCAGAGACAGGTAGATCTTTATGAGTTCCAGGCCAGCTTGGTCTCCAGAGTGAGTTCCAGGACAACCAGGGATACAGAGAGAAATCCTCTTTAAAAAAAAAAAAAAAACAACAACAACAAACCAACCCCCCAAACAAACAAAAAATTCACATGATGGAAGGAGAAAACCAACTTCATAAAGTTGTTCTTTGGCATGCGCATGCTCTATCTATCCCCAGCCCCTGCCGCCCTCCAGGCACCCCTGCCGCCCACCATGCACCCTCTACCGCCCACCACGCACCCTCTACTGCCCACCACGCACCCCCTGCCGCCCACCACGCACCCCCCCCCCCGCCGCCCTCTACCACCCACCACGCACCCTTTACCGCCCACCACGCACCCCTTGCGATAAATGAAAAGTGAACTGGAATCTGGGTGTGGCAGACCTGCTGGCAATCTCAGTACAGGAGGCCAAGGCAAGAGGGTAGAAGTTCCAACAGTTAAAGTGCTGGAAAGGAGGGGCTGCTCTTAGGTCCTCAAAGCTTGGGGACCTCAGTGTGGGATCTTGGAGGAACTGAGACTGGGGGATTCAGTCCTGGATTGAGGCTTGGGGGCCTGGGCTCTAACACTTCCGAGTGATAGACCCCCGTTTGAGTCTGGCGGGGGGGGGGGGGGGGGGGGGGATATGAACCACCTGCTTACATCCAGAGTCTGAAAAGGCAACCCAGCAAAGAGGCCTCAGGGATGAGAAAGGGGCATGTTGAGGGCGGTCAGGGCCTTGAGAGGAAAAAAGTTTTTTCAGAGGCAAAAGTAACTCAAAGGAAAGATGTGACCTGGACCTTTTCTAGTGTCGGAGAGAAGGGTAGAACGTGACAGTGGACTTCACTGAAGCTTAGCCTGGAGGATGAGGGACACAGAATATACCATTACAGAGGAGGCAAGGAGGAAAATGAAGAATTTTGATTTAAACGAGGAGAAGGCTGAGGAAGAGATAAGTTTTTTTTTTTTTTTTTTTTTTTTTTTTTTTTTTTTTGCTTTTCTCCTTTGAGACTGGGCAGCCTGGCTGGCCTGGAACTCACAGAAACCTCTTGCCTCTGCCCCACCCCCAAATGCTGGGATTAAAGGCACATGCGCCACCCACCCACAGCTGCTAAGGAAATACTTGTTTCTCCTATAAGTGTGCCTCGAGAGAATGAGATGCTGTTTATTGTGTCTGCGTGTCTGTTCAGATCGCAGAGAAGTGTCACGGTCAGAGTCATCTGGGTGAGATGGGTTAATCAGCAAGAGGCTAGCTCTGGGCTCTGGGCTGGAGTGTGACTTAGTGGCTGAGTGCCTGCATAACATTGGCAAGGTCCTGGACTTGAGAGCCTCACTAAAAAAGGAAAGAGAGGGAGAGAGAGAGAGGAGGGCCAGCGAGATCAGCAAGATGGCTCAGCGGGTAAAGGTGCCACGCCTGAAGACTGAGTTCAGTCCCTGGGCTCCACATGCCACAGGAGAATGAGCCCACAGTTGCCCTCTGACACGCACACGTGTGTGAATCTCTCCTAAATGATGTACCTTTAACAAAGGAAGAAAGTGCACTGGTCACATTTCAGCTTTAAGTGATATATGCTGGGTCAAAGGATGGAATTGGAATTGAATCTATTTACTTATTTTTTTTTTAAGCCATGGTGACAGGTACCTTTAATTCCAGCCCTGGGGAGACAGAGGCAGGTAGATCTCTGTGAATCTGAGGCCAATATGGTCTACGGAGCGAGTTCCAGGCCAGCCAGAGTACACTGTGCAACTGTCTTTTAAAAAACAGTATCATAGCCGGGCTGTGGTGGTGCACGCCTTTAATCCCAGCACTTGAGAGGCAGAGACAGGCGGGCCTCTGAGTTCGAGCCTGGTCTAAGGAGTGAGTTCTAGGACAGGCTAACGTTGTTTGTGAGTGCCTGCCATGGTGCACATGTGGAGGACAGAGGACAGTTTTGGGGAGTCAGTTCTCTCTCCACAGTAGATCTGGGGATCAGATTCAAGCTGTCTGGGATGTGTAATGGCAATAGTGCTTTGACCCAATGAGCCATCTTGCCAGCTCTCTTTTCAATGAACAGTTTTGAAATTTCCCTTTTTTTCTATGTTCTCGTTATGTTTGTTGGACGATAACTGTGTGAATGTACTGATAATACAAACTGTGGGCTTGGATTTTGTCTTTTTCACTTTTCTAAAAAAAAAAAATCAGGTTGGAGAGTTGGCTCAGTGGTTCTTGTAAATGAACCTGTGTTTAATTCCCAGTATCCACATGGAGCCTCACTACTTCTCTGGGTACCAGGCACACATGTGGTCCACAGACATACACCCAGGCAAAACACTCATTCACACAAGATAATAAATCTAAATTTTAAAAAATCTAGGGGGTGGGGCAGGAGGATGCCATAACACAGACGTAGAGCTCAGAAGAAAGTCTCAGTCGGAGTTGGGCAGTGGTGGCACACACCTTTAATCCCAGCACTAGGGAGGCAGAAGCAGGCAGATCTCAGTGAGTTTGAGGCCAGCCTGGTCTACAAAGCGAGTTCCAGGACAGCCAGAGAGAAACCCTGACTTGAAAAACAAAAAGAAAGAATAAAGGAAAGGAAGGAAGGAAGGAAAAAATCTCAGTTGTTCACCTTCCACTCTGAGATAGGCAGGGCTCTTGCTGTCTTGGAACTTCAGATACCAGGACTTTCCTGCCTCCACCTCCACCTCTGTAGAAGCTAGGATGACAGACATCCACTGTGTCTGGCTTTGTGTATTCTGGAGATTCGAACTCAGATCCTCACGACTGCATAGCAGATGCTTTATCCACTGCTCCATCTCCCAGTTCCTTCATTTTTTAAGAATTTATTTGATTTATTATGTATAATATGTTCTGCCTGCATATATGTCTGTATGACAGAAGAGGGCGCCAGATCTCATTACAGATGGTTTGTGAGCCACCATGTGGTCTCTGGGAATTGAACTCAGGACCTCTGGAAGAGCAGCCTGTGCTGGTAACCTCTGAGTCATCTCTCCAGCACATCCCTCCGTTTTCTCTTTATGGTGTGTGCATGCTTGCGTGCTCCAGCATCCCATGAAACATATGTGGAGCTCAGCAAAGAGCTTGTGGGAGTCTGTTCTCTTTCCATCCTGTGGGTCCCAGGGATTGAACTCGGGCTGTCAGGCTTGGCAGCAAGTGCCTTAACCCTTGGTGCCATCTCACCAGACCTCTACAGTCCTTGCCTTGGCTGGTTGCAGAACGGTAAGTTACTTAAGGTGTTCTGACTGGAGGTCTGGGGATGGAAGGTCTAGGTGGGTCGGGAGAGGAGCAGGTGAAAAGACTAGGTGTCCATTCATTCAGCCCAGCTGCCTGATCTCTCTGTGGACATTCCTGCTTTTGTCTGGAGGAGGGAACACCACTCAGCTGCTCTTTTGGTGGCCTGCAGAGGTCACCAGCCTTCTTCCATTTTTCTCCCTCTCCCTGAGTTTCAGAAGGGGCTCAGGTTGTGTTTTGTCCTTGAAGAGCTGGTTCTCACCTGTAAACCGGGGGCGTTGGGCTTCTCATGTGTGAGATGGCGTTGAGGCAGTAAGGATTCTAAGACTTGACTTAGGGAAGTGCTTGACACAGCTTGTTTTGTGAGCACTACCATGAGCCCAGATTTCCATACAGAGTTTGGGTTTTTTGTTTGTTTTAGGTTTTGTTTAACTTTTAGACATTATTAGAGGCCCAGATTTTCCAAAAATCTAAGATGGTGTTTCAAACATTTGGTGACAAAAGTCTTTGTCAGTGTGGTGCTCTGCTGAGGAGCTGTGCTCTCACCCCCATCAGCTCCCTAGTCCTTCCCAGCCGCTGGGTCTCGGAAGTAGGGCAGTGGGTGGGGGAGCACTGTCCCACATAACCCTTATTTAGAGATGCATATGGCAGCCTAGGGCCCCAGAGTCAGGCTGGAACTGGGATACCAGCCTCCAGGCCCCAGGCCTGCGTCATCTCTCAGTGCCCTTTGATGAGGCCACCAGGACAAGTGCTGGCATGCTACACAGATGGGGAGAGTTGAATCTCCTCAGGGTTGAAGGCAGGAAGGCCGACCACTTCTCCATGCAGCTCTGCCTTGGACATAATGGTGACCTTGGCACATCTGAGATCACCAGGTTGTCCTAGATGCCATTAGAGATTGGTGGTCCTCCACACCCCAGGTGAGTCCTCCACTAAACCTATGTAGAAGGGGCTGGGCCAGACCTGGTGGGAGAGAAAACTGCAACTGTCCCGCTGGGATTAATTACCCTTTTATTAGCACAAAATTACACCAACCCAGGAGTCCAGGGCCCAGGTTAAGGGGCAACGCCCCCAGACTGGCATGCCCAAGCTTCCTGAGCAAATCCAGAGGGGCTGGTGGCTGTGAGGCTCCCAGAAGGCCTTTTCCTTCCAAGTGAAAGGGACAGATCCGGGCGTAGGTTGGAGAACCGCCCCGGGGACATGTGGAGGCGGCCTGAGGCCGTGGAGCTCTGGTATCCCACTGGCCAGCTGCAGCTCACTTTTCAAAGTAGGGCAGATAGAAGAATTGGAAGCCCCGGTG